CTATAATTTTATTTAAATTCTCTTGACCCAACTGAAATGTTTTAAATTTCCACCTCCTAAATTAACTTCTATTCAGATCCCACTTACTCAGATCAACCAAACCATGCAAAAAAATTCATTGTACACAGCATATTCTTATCCATTCCACACACATTTTATTGAATAAATTAAAACTTTATTTGTATATTTACCAAAAACAATATCCTTAGTTTTATCATTTAAAAAAAATACAAACTCATGTAACCAAAATACATAAAGGATTCGGTTAACTAAGTGTTGACTCTTTTTACCTATACTAGGAAAATCCAGCCTGTCAAAGCTGGGTTTGCAGAGACATATTTGAAATATTTGTGGATCCCCATGAAGGTTAACTCTTCATAACATGAGATTTATTACAGCATCTAGATCCGATATTAAGGAACGAAATGATTTCACAACCCCAAGTTAGAACTTTGTACAAGAAATTCCAGTGGCGTTTAACCGCTTTGAAAATCCTACTGAGTACTCCTTTTTCAAAATCTAGTAGCATAAGTAAATACCGACAGTACCTTCGGAACTTTTATAAATAGCAAAGCTAAACTTTTCACAGCTATAAGCAAAGGGTATTTCTATTTCCCTGAGAGCATAGTTTGCTTTGGGTTCAAGGGCTGTGTGTGTGTGTGAGCACGTGTGCACTCATGTGCGTGTGTGTGATTAAATCTGTTGATGTTTGGGTCAACTGAGCTCTGTGCCCATTTTAGACCAGCCTTGTCAACTGGGGTCCCTTAACCTGCCCTACAGGTTCCACCTTGAGCCTCTGGGCCTCATTCTCTCTAGATCCAGTAAGGTAGGAGACCCAACCAAGCAGCTCAGGGGCCCAGAGCACATGGGTCTGACGGCTAGTCCTGCTCTAACTTGTGCCTCGTTTCTAAGTGAATGTTGCCTGAACTTGAATCCCTTGGCTGGAACCCCTGTTCCTTATTTGCCCCTTTCCCTTCTTGAGAATGGAGTCATGTTCACAAACTCCAGGGACCCTGATGTCATTTTCTAGACCTATCATTTTTCTCAGGCCTGATCTCCTCCTACCTCATCACCTTCCTCCCGTCCAGAGGTGCTCTATCCACACACACGACCTGCCTCAGGACCCAGTCTGCTGTGACAGGATGTCCCAGAGGCCCTGTCTGAGTCCTAGGGCCTCTGCTCCTTGTTCACCCGGCACCAATCTGCCTCCTCTCCCTGCTGGTGGTATGGGTTATGACGGTTAACCTGCAACAAATGGTTTTTGTTTATCTGGGAATAAAAATTAGATCTTAAGAGTTTCTATCCCTGGCTAGTACCTGGAAGTTTATACTGATTAAGTTTCCCCAAAACGACTTGAACTTTTTTCTTTCCCTAAAAGCTACAGACTGGCAGCTTTAAGCTCAGAGTTCTGGGTCATCTTAATAGGTATACCTGCCCACTAACCCATGCCATGATCGAGAGTCCCTATCTCCCGAGAGCTAGGCGCCTGAGATTTTTATTCCAAGTCACCTGCACATCTGATGATATAAACAGTATATAGAATTCTTTCCTTGTCTTCATTCAGGTGTTCTGAACTAGTCCTGAAACTTGGGTCCCGCACTTAGAACCAGGTTTATAACACAGGGATCCTAAATCTTCACTTTCCTAGCAGGGTTGGCCCCACTAATAGGCTCAAAATCTGCTGACTTCACTTCTTAAAGGACTGCCATGACAAAGATCGTTCTCTTTCTGAGGCGGCTCTTCGTGTATGGCCGTGATGCTGTCATTGGATATCCTCTTTGGAAGTTCTTCCCTGAAACCATTTTTGGAATATGACTGACTTCTCCTGTAGCTCATAAATAGTTTCTGAAGGCGATCTCAGAGAAAGACAAGCATGTAAGCAGTGGCTACATCATTGATCTGAGTGCACAGCTTTCCAGAGAGACCGCTTGGAAGGACAATAAAGACCTTGATTCAGCCTCATAAGTTTACATACATCTCATTTTTTGCTAACTTGATGAAAAGAAAAATGATAATATTTTTAACTGGCCTATTAAGTTTATTGAGTGTCTCCCTGGTGGGGACCTGTCTTATTTATTGTTGTTCCCAAGGCTTGACACACATGAAGAACTCCTTGAGTGTTTACTGAATTGAACTAGATTAAATTGAGAGTTTCGTTAAGGTTATTATTAGTGCTCATGAGTAAGTGATATATGTGTTCTAAATTTCCACAAATATGTTTGTATTTTCCCATCTTACCCTCATAGCAGAGAGTTGAACTATCACATGTGACCCTGAGGCACAGAGCTTTTCACACATCAACATGCGCTTATGTTTATCCTCAATAATCTAAGCATAAACAAATCTCACTTGTAATTTTCCAAGTCATTTATCTGCTTTGAATTTTAGCTTCTTCTAGCCATAACTTTTGTATGAAAACTAAACCCACTATCAATTCCCAAACTGCTGAGAAGCACAAGTGTGATATGCCACACCTGATATGAAATAAAACTATAAAGAGACTTGAAATCATAGGAGGAAAATAAAGCACATTGGGTAATACAGTTACTATGTTGTTACCATTGTTGTTGCTTAAATACAGCATATGAAACAGGATCTCTTAATCTGTTCCCCCAACTTGGGGATTAGAATGAATTTCCAGTGAGCTCATTTGAAAGCTCTAGCGCTTAGAGTGAAGGACTGACACAGTTCTTTGAGTCAAAATTGTGCCAAGCTGATCCAAAAAACATATAGAATGATTTAAAAGGACCCTGAAAACGAAGGTTCCGGGGGGGGGGGG